ATAACATCAACCTTCTTGAAGACTTCGGGGGCGTTGCGGTAGATCTCGTAGGCGATCTCGAGAGGGCCAGGGGTGTGATCGAGCTGGCGGCCGCCGTGGTTGGAGATGTAGATGGCCTTAGCACCCTTCTCAACAGCAAGTAGGGCCTCCTCAGCGGTGGTGATGCCCTTCAGGATTATGGGCAGGGAGGTCTGGTTCTTCATCTGGTCGTAGATGTCCCAGGTCAGAGCAGAGGAGACGGAGTTGGCGTTCGTGGTGTCGTAACGGGCAGCACGGTGACGGACAGAGTCGCCGGGGGCGTCAATGGTCCAGACGATGGCCTTAGCACCAGTGCGTTCAGCGCGGCGGATGTTCTCCCAGGTAACGGAGAGGTTGGCGTTGGTGTAGATCTGCTGGAAGATGACCTGGGGTCCGTTGAGGGTACCGTTGACCTTGCCGGTAGCGATCTCCTCAATGGACTTAGAAGCGTACATGGACGGGATGTACAGGATGTTCTCGTTACCGGCAGCGCGGACGAGGTTGAGCTCGGCGTCCGGGTCTCCATAGACGGCGCGGGCGGCGGGCGCGATGAAGAGCGGGGCGCTGAAGTTGTAGCCGAGGATGGTGGTGGCCATGGTCTCGTTGAGCTTGGTGACGTCGCTCAGGTGCTTGGAGCGGAGCTGGACCTTTTGCCAGACGTCGAGGTTGTGGCGGTAGCTGTACTCGCCGGCGGTGCCGGTCCGGTAGAAGGAGTACTTTTGGTTGTCGAGGTGCTGGCGGGCCGCCCAGTCGAAGTCGGGGATGGCGCGGATGTCCTTGAGGAGGGGGAGGGAGCCTTTGGTGTAGTTTGTGCTATCGAGGTAGGTCTCGAAGCCGGTGTCGACCTCGTTGAGCCAGGGCTCGCCGGCCATGGCTATAGCCAGGAGCTGCGTGGCGATGACGAAGGACTTCATCTTGTGCGGTACGTAAGGAACGTGGTTAAAGAGTGAATTAATGGAAGTAACTGACGATTCCTGCCAAGCGACGTAGAAATTCTCCTCGAGAAAGTACGGCCATCACAAAGAACTTATATGTTGCCCTTTCTGAAGGATCCGCCAACAAACCCCCCTCCCCCTGATCACGATGATCTCCATCCTACTTACACCGCTGACCTTGTCGGCGCATTCTATCCCCGGCGGCCTCAGGGTTGGGCCGCATGGGCTTTAGAAACCAAACGGTACTGGTTCATCTCATGTCTTGTCATGTCTTGGGGAAAACAAACATGTTGGGTCTTGATCCGAGTCAACCGCCAAGTTGGAAACTAGGGCCTCCCTTGCTGCACGAGTCGAGAGGAGACGAGGGATGCCCTCCTACTGGTTGGACACGATCTAATCTAATCAACTCGACGGATCCCAACTTTCTGGATTCCTTGGCTGAGGCACCCTTTTTCCGTGGGGGTCATCGTCAGTCATCCTGACTAATTGTGGACGTTCTGGGTCCCAAGGGCAACCGAGCCTCACGAGAAGGTCTCGACTTGCCTAAACGGGATGGTTTTGGCGATACTTTTGACCCTCTCATGGATATCCTATCCACCGTCGTCGGATCACCGGCGCATCAGCCTCTACCTCAAAAGGAGTCATCTCATAGCGACAGTATTCTCCGAGAGGCGGTCTGCTATGCACCATCCCGTCTGGGAGATGGGAGAAGCACCGTGCTAAGAGCAGAGTATCTGCCATGGAAACAAATATTCCTTACGGATGACCAAGATTGCGCACGCCGAGACCTGTCACAAGACCTGCCCGAGAAAGCAGGTTGATCGCAGTCGGATCCGGTCCTCCGAAGTCTTGGCTCGGACCAAGACTCCATGTCCAGCGGGCACGACCATCGACGACATTGTTCGCTTGCATGCGCCTGTCGGTTGTGTTTCTTCTTTGGCACTGGCTTGATTTATGCGCGGTTTCTGACCCAATGTAACGGAAACTCCGCCATTGTGGATATGCTTTTGGTATGTTTTGTCGGACTTTTTGAGCAGAGTTTGGACGAACAGGAAAACGAGAGAGCCCTGGTCATAAGTCCCAAAGAGATGAAATTAGGTTCTCGGCTCTAGGAGAAGAAGTGGGCCGCAGTCGAGATAGAGCGAAGGATCTCTTGTCGATTCAGAGCTTGGCGCGGATGCAGATTGCTTCCCTGCTGAAATCTCGCGCTGGGCTTAACGGTTTGAGTTATTATTCCCCGGGGGGTTTTACGGGTCTTTAGGAGAAAATCCGCCTTCGTCGTTGGGGCTCCGGGGTCCTCCAGCTCTGCGTGAAGTTGACAAACGTTCTCTTCCTAGCAGAAATTTGTGGGCATAGCCCAAGTATGGAGTCTCGCGCGCGGTTGTTCTTCACACCAAACCCCATTACAGGAATCAAAGTTTCTTATGATGGGAAGTGACGTGCCAACTTTCGTATATGCCGTGGCCGACGTTGCTGCCAAGGCATTGTTGGAAATGCAAACATTTCTCAATGATAGATACAATGAATAAAAGAGAGAAAAAAACCGGTGGAGCACTGAGAACTAACAGCTTCATTTTTCGATGTCGAAGAATGTTTAGAAGGGCATCATCACGTAATCCCCGCTGCCTCTGACGCATAGCTTAACGATCAATCACCTCGAGCCAAGCACCAAATGGAACCTGACGGAAACAGTCTCTGATGCGCTCATTGCGACTCTACAATATTGCAGTATCTGAACGTCCCACGTGCTCTCCATAGGTGTTGGCTACCTACTTGATGATCGATTAAGATGAGGCTTTCTTGATCTGAATGACACAGTCGCATTGAAACGGGTCTAGCAATAATGACAATGTGCGCTCAGCCGATCCGACTCCCGACCCGACTCACGCGAGGGATGGAAAACCCCAACGCCCAGATCGACAAAAATCCGTGCTCATCCTCGCAGCCATCTTCAAGGTCTCATAGGGCTTGGGTCCGTGACGCTTGGGGAAGGTCTGAGATCACAACTCGTTTCCAGCCACTGGAGATTTCTGAAGCTTGGACACATCTTGGGCAGCATAGGAGCTCGGAAAGGAAGTTGAGTATGGATAATCACTTAGCCTGGCTATCGAACATCTTGAGCCGCAATCATGTAAAAGGCATGCTGTTCAGGGTTAATGACGCAATAGTCAACCCGGTCCTGGCGATAACATTCGAACAAGGGGTAGGTCGGAGGTTTTTCAAGTCACAAAACCAGAGGTTTCCAGGCACAATTCAGATGCTATGCGACGTTGATCGATCGAAGCTCAAAACACTTTCTATTCTTAGATGCTAAGCGGCTACAGTGGCACGATTTGCAATGGCTTTCTTTGTGTACTTTCTTTCGATATCATGGTCATTCATTGTCACATGCATTTAACAGACTAAGATCATCGTCAGCAAACGTTCATTTTCTAAAGACACAATCTCAGGGGATCGACTTACTTCCAATAACACCGTTCACTGGGATATCAATCGACGTCGTATAGCTCGCAGCATCGCTCAAAAGGTAAACGTACGCGCCACCGAGCTCCTGGACCTCGGCCAAACGGGGCATGCCGCCGTAGTACTTGAGCTGCTGCTCCCAGTCCGGCTGCTGCGGCACCCAGTAAGTCATGGCTGTGTTGACGAGTCCGGGCGAGACGCTGTTGACGCGGATGCCGTACTTTGCCCACTCCATGGCGAGCGTGTGCGCCATGTTGCGGACGCCGGCTTTGGAGGCGCCGTATGGAGCTGAGGGGACGCGCTGCGCGTAGGTTAGCATGTGCTCGTCTCTTGAGCCTCTAGCTGAGGCCGGTATCTCAGCGTCAAGAATTGAAGCATACCTTATTGGGGCGGTAAGAAGCCATGGAGGCCGTAAACACCACTGAACCCTTAATGTTCAGCTTGATAAAAGCCCTCGCCGCCGCTCTGGCAGTGTAAAAGGCACCAAACAGCTAATCATCCTATCGTCAGCACACACATCCCATTCCCTTCATAAATGTACCTCATCAAACATACGTTGACACCAAACAACGACTCAATCTCCTCCTTTGTGAAGTCAAGCGCAGCCTTGTGGTTCGTCCGGCCAGCGTTGCAGACGACACCGTGGATCGCGCCCGCCTCCTCAACAATCTTGTCAATGGCGGCCGTGATGCTCGCCTCGTCGGTGACGTTGGCCGAGATGGAGAAGAGACGGCCGGGGAACTGCTTAGACGCCGCTGCGAACTCGTCACCGGGCTCCGCGAGGTCAATGGAGTAAACTTTGGCTGCGTTGTTGAGGAGGCAGCATTCTGCGACGCCGAGGCCGATGCCGCGGTTTGCGCCGGTTACTAGGTGGGTTATTTGTGAGTAAAATGGTCAAGTCGATCTTTTATTGTTGCCAAAGAGGCTTGATGATGATGGCTTACCTGCAATGACCTTTCCGGATAGTGTCAGGATAGGCTGGACGTTGACGGCCTTGGGGTCAACGGCTGCTGCTCCCGTTTCGACTGCTGAAGGTGCCATGGTGAACTGCTTCAAAGGTATCTGATTCAAGTTGGACTTATGGAATAACACAACAAGGAAGGTACGAATTGACTTTTGTTGGTATCTGTCTCGGTCGATGCTGTACGCAAGTTCCAGCAGTGACATATCAACCCCCCAGGGGTTCATCTGCTTTAAAAGCTAAAAGCTACATCATACATAGTTTGCCGCATCTCCGAACACGGTCTGCCGAGTTCCACATCCCCCAAGTCCCCATGCAGGTGTGTATCATGGCATTCGTTACATTGCAGCAAAGTTTGAGGTTTCTGTTTAGCTACAGGCCCGTCATTGTTGTTTGTTGTCCCTCGAGACGACTGCGAATCGTCTCATCCCCGGTCTCATTCAATTCGTATTCTCCACAATCGCGGGGAAATCTGGAGCTATTGCCCTCGAGACGAGAAGCGTAGGATGCGGGATGCGGGGGAATCTCCACCACCGAACGCCTAGTCGCGATGAACATCCCTCCGGCTGTTAGAGACACTTTCTTTTTTCTGATCGTGGTGCAGCGAGTCGCGCGTACAATAACCAAATTGCGCTAGTTCTCGGTACGCTTCCGTGTCAGAAGGGACCCTCGAGTCGGCTGGATGCCAAGTCGCAAAACACGAGTCAATGCTTGAGCTGGTGACAGTTACTAGCTCGCCTTTCAAATCCCTGAGCTAAAGGAGCTACCCCTGCCTGCCGTCTGCCGTCAGGGTCTTTGAGCATGTAATAAGAAGTCGACGTGAAGATTAACTTGCTTTCTTTCCATCAACCAAACTCGCCACTCTTTTGTCGGTCTCACACCTAGATACCCAAAAGACAAGGAGATCAAAAGTCACAACATGAACGCCAACTTGCTTAGATCTCGCCTGTTGCCGGCGGTGCAGGCCGCGCTGCCCAAGCAGCAAGTCAGAAGCGTCACAACTCGCTCGGTGCAATGGGAGCTCAACACGGGCGCAAAGATCCCCGCCATTGGCTTCGGAACGTTCCAAGACGCCGATGCTCAAGAGGAAGCCGTGAAGACGGCGCTGAAAGTCGGATTCCGCCACATTGATACCGCGAGAGTGTAAGCATTCCCATCCATCCTAGCTTAATCACGAACCGAACAAAATTGAAGCTAAGTTTCTGTGTCTATCAGTTACGATACTGAAATCCAAGTCGGCAAGGGCATCAAAGCCAGCGGCGTTCCGCGCGAGGATATCTTCCTGGGCACCAAGCTGTGGTGCAACTCACACCACCCCGACGACGTCGAGGCCGCCCTCGACGCCTCCCTCAAGGACCTCGACACGCCCTACGTGGACCTGTTCCTGATGCACTACCCTTGCACGTTCCAGCGGGGCGAGGACCGCTTCCCCAAGGGCGCTGACGGCAAGATGATTATGGGCAAGACGACGTTTGTCGATACCTGGAAGGCGATGGAGGCGCTGCTCAAGACGGGAAAGACAAAGGCCATTGGTGTCAGCAACTTCAGCAAGGACGAGGTGCAGACTCTTATTGACAAGGGATCAGTGGTACGTTTTAACCAGTCTCAAGAAGAGAAGAAGGGAGAACGTGGAAAAGGGGCATATGAGCGTGTCGCTAACTACGACGAAAACCAGGTTCCCGCCGTTCACCAGATGGAACTCCACCCCTACCTCCAGCAAAAGTCCTTCGTCGACTGGCAACGCGCAAACGGCATTCACATGACGCACTTCTCGCCCCTCGGCAATCAAAATTCGTTCTACCGCGAAGTCTCGTGGTCCAAGGAGGCCTCGCACATGGCCCGCGTCATCGACCACCCGACGCTCGCCGAGATTGCAAAGAAGCACGGCAAGACGCCCGTGCAAGTCGCTCTCGCTTGGGGCGTCAACAGCGGCCGGTCCGTGATTCCCAAGAGCGTCATTGAGTGGCAGATTAAGGAGAACCTCGAGTCGGACTTCCTGCTGGATGGGGAGGATATGGACAAGATTGCCAAGATGGATCTGAAAGCGAGATTTAATGTGCCGTCTGAGGAGTATAGGTGGCAGCTGTACAAGGGGCTGGATGGAGTTAACTACTGATTGGTATCACTGGCGATCGAAAACTTGGGTGTAGTTAGTTAGATTTAGCAGGTAGATAGATACTGGACTCAAGCAGGGAGCCAGTTTTGTAAATCCAAAAACAGTCCAGGTCTTTACACACAACTGGTGAAGCCGCGGGCTTAGGAGTCGGCACAAAGTTCGAGCTAGGTTCGTGTTGACTGAAAGGTTTCACATTCATGGGGGATTGTGAGCGCAATGTCATGACCTCTTGATGTGTACCGAACCAAGCCCCAGTGATTCTGAATAATGATCTATGCTATCGTGGTTGCGCAAGCACAGCGTGCTACAGTGGGGTAGAGTAGAAGTCCTCCGGGACAGTCAAAGATTGGAGTTTTAAGAGTGGGCTGTATCAATGACTGCATTTAGTTTCGAAGGCTCGCAATGTGGCATACCGTGAAGCCAAAATTCACTCTCACATTGCTTTCCCTTTTAAGAGTATGACGAGAGAAGGTCAATCACCGTCAAGCTAGGTCACGAATCAGGTGTGATTTGTCAGGTTCTTCTAGTAAGAGCGGTTCAGCCATACGGCGGGTATATTGTATTTGGAGTCTTCACGTTGGTAGTACAGTCTACAGAAATTCAAGCCTCAAAGCAGGGAGCCATCACATCACATCACATCACACCTCACGCCTCCGTTGCCCGCAGGAAATACCGCAAAACCCCCTGCACAGCGCCAACAACAGCCCTCGGCCTCTTCCACCACAAGAACACAGCCCCGACAACAAGCGGACTGCACACCAGCGCCTCAAACGTCTTCATGAGCACCTGGCCCTGGTGGTCGCTCTTGGCCACGACCTCAGAGTATCGCTCGTTGCCGAAGCTGACACGCGAGTACTTTGTCTGCCATCCCAGCCCGGGAGCGTACACCGACATCTTCTCCTCGAGCCACTTACGCAGGCGATACCGCGGCGAGAGCACCGAAGCGCGCATCTCGACGTAGTTTTGCAGCGCCAGGTCGTTGATGGAGTGCGCGTCGGGCACGCGGTTCGCCGTGTACTCGGCCAGCGCCGCGCCACGGTGGTAGGCGACAGTCGCATAGGTGTCCGCGGCGTCTGCTGGGCTTCCTGACGGGTCGTTGGCTTGGGCTTCCGCCAGCCGGCGGTGCTTGTCGAGGATGGAGAAGAGGATGCGGACGTCTTCGAGGCCCGCGTTCATGCCCTGGCCGTAGAAAGGGACCATGGCGTGCGCGGCGTCGCCGACGAGGACGGCGGAGGCGTCGTAGTGGTGGGGGTTGCACTTGATGCTGATTAAGGGCAGGTGGGGATTCCGCTTGAAGGATTCGATGAGGTCTTCGGCTGGGATCAGGTCTGTTACCCCCGGGAAGTGCTTGTCGAAGAAGGCGGGTAGACTTGACGGGTCTTGTTCGAGAGCCTCTGTTTGGTTGTTGGGGAGGAATAGTGTGCAGGTAAAGGAGCCGTCCTGATATCTTGTTAGTCGGGCGTACAAAGGCAGGTTCGAGGAATACTCACATCACTGGGTATAGCGATGAACATGAACTCCTTGCCAGGCCAGATATGCAAGTGATTTGGTGAAATTCTGAATTCCGGCTTGCTGTCCGGTGTGGAAGCTTTGGCAGGCTTGATCTGGAACTCGCACCAGAGGGTGTCGATGTACTCCTGCTTATAGTTCATCTGAGCAAACTTCATCAGGTGATATCTAACGGCTGAGTGCGCGCCATCGGCGCCAATCATAAAGTCAAAGTCAATTTCAATCTCTTTGGCGCGGCCGGTAGCCGACCCGGACGTCATGTCCTCGAACCAAGCCTTGCACTTCTTGAAGTCTGCGCCAGTGAGCTTGTGGCTGAAGAAGAACTTGACGTTCGGCATCTCTTCGAGGATGTCGAGCATGCGCTTATTCAAGCCGGCGCGGTCTACGGCATAGATGGCCTTGCATAATGATCAGCATAACGTTGATAAGGGGGCATCTGTGTCGATGCCGTGCTCAGTTGACTCACTCTACCGTGGACATCATAGTCCTGCGAAGCCTCGTACAGGTCACCTTTCGGGGTCCTGCCGTGGATCATGCGTCCCCGCATAGGAATAGTGGCGCCAAAGACATGTTCCAGTAACTTTGGTTGGCCAGCATTGCGCATGGCGTTGATGCCGCGCTCAGAAAGCGCCAAGTTGATGGACCGGGTGAAGTTTAAGAGAGTTGTTGTGGGGTCTCTAAGGTCTACATGGTTGTCACCGTTAGTCTCTGTTCAGACTCATATCAACTAGTAGTAGGTAGTTGTGTTGTTGTTTGTTGCTGACGATTGAAAACGGCGTCAATCCACAGAGTTGCCGAGATCAGGATCTCCGGATAAGGCAGAGAGAGAAGCAAACAGACACTACCTTATCTGCATCGCACCCACCAACGGGACATCACATCATGGCAAACAATACTATTGAATGAGGCAATTGGTGGGGCAGACGAGGGGCAGGATCCATGATCTTCAACGGCGCGCTGAGCCGGGCGGGAACGAGAGACTTTGCCAAACGGAAAAAGAAAAGCGACAAGCAAACTTACCGGCTCTCAACTCGTAGATCTCAACCTCGTACCCGCGCTGTGCTGCATAGAGCGCGGCCAAAGAGCCGACGGGGCCAGCGCCGACCACGACGACCTTTTGGTTTTTGGCCATGTTCGTTTGGGTGACAAATTTACTGGTTTCCTTGTGTCTTTTCTCGCCAGCTTCAAGACATGTGAGAAGAAACTTGAAGAGAAGTTCGCATGCAACAGTGGCGTAAGAGAGAGAGAACTTGAATTCAGAGAACTCGCATGATGATTCGACCCTTGGGCGGGTCAAGCCGGCCGGATGAGAGGATTGAAGGGGGTACAGGCGTCAACGACTTTTTCTTTACTAAACCTAGGTTCTCTGTGTTTCCAACCCCCGATGCCTTGAGCATAGAGCGCAGAGCGGCGCAAGTCGGATTCGGTCGCTGCTCGGTGGTGTTCGGCTCGCGGGTATTCCCCGGAAGCTCCGACAAGGGAAGCTCCGCTCAGAAACTTTTTCTTTATTTCAAGTTTCTTGCAAGTCGTTTACCTTACCTAAGGCACCTCAAATCAGTTCTCGTTTCCTGGACCCTGGCCGTGGCGCATCTGAATGGGAGTGGCTTATAAACTCAATCGTTCCAATATTTTATCGTTATCGATAAGGCCGCTGGAGTCTTTCGTCTTATCGATAGTCGATGTTATCAGTTCCCGAGATTGAACCACAGGTGAGAAAAAAGGACTTACACCTGCCCTGTGCAGATTGCAGAGCAGCGTGGTGGCTGCGGGGAGCCGCGCCCAAGCGCCTATCACACAGCGTGGGACGGATACGGGCTTGGAAATATTTCTTTCGTCAGGTCACTTTTTTGTTTGTTCGTAGCCGAATCGTCAAATTTAGGGCGTGTGTCTGAGAAACTGCGCCGCCGCCTCGTCTGTCCGAACCCTTGCTCCAATTCCAGGGTCCTCACTCTTTCACTCTCCTCCACTCGTCGATCATCGTCGAGCAATCTTTAGCTTCTTTTTTCCGAGTCGCTAGAGAATACATTCCGTACTTGACCGTACCTAGTCGCATACTTCCGTTGTACCCCTCTACGACCGCCCACCATGACTGAGCCTCCCGCGAAGAAGATGTGCCTCGGCGTCGACTGCCCCAACGAGGCTGGCACCCTCCAGTGCCCGACCTGCTTGAAGCTCGGAATCAAGGGCAGCTTCTTCTGCTCGCAGGACTGCTTCAAGAAGAACTGGGTATGTCGCGCTATTGCTGTTGGCCTCATATCATAGACTATTCCCGCTGACCTCCAATCCCAGGGAAACCACAAGTCCATGCACAAGTCTGAACAAAGTATACTTCACCATGTCCTCCCGCCAAAGGTCGTCTCTAAACCAGATCCAGAGACAGGTGTATTCAACCCCTTCCCGACGTACCCCTTCACCGGACCCCTCCGACCCGTCTACCCTCTGTCCGAACGCCGTACCGTCCCCAAGCACATCCCCCACCCCGACTGGTGGAAGGATGGTATCCCCAAGTACCCGAGAAGCATCCTGAACAGGAACAAGGTCGACATCCTGGACGCCAAGGGAATCGCCGGCATGCGCAAGGTCTGCCGCCTGGCGCGTGAGGTTCTCGACATTGCCGCCGCCGCCGTCAAGCCCGGCATCACGACGGACTACATTGACGAGATTGTCCACAAGGCCTGCATAGAGCGCAACGTAGGTCTCACTCTGACTGCAAATGATGCGCGCCGAGCAGGAGAAGGAGGAGCAAAAGAGCTGACCAGACCAAACCGCAGGCCTACCCCTCGCCCCTGAACTACAACCACTTCCCCAAGTCCGTATGCACATCCCTCAACGAGGTCATCTGCCACGGCATCCCCGACCAGCGCGTGCTCCTCGACGGCGACATCCTCAACATCGACGTCACCCTCTTCTTCGAGGGCTACCACGGCGACCTCAACGAGACGTACTACGTCGGCGACCGCGCCAAGGCCGATCCGGACGCGGTGCGCGTCGTCGAAGCCTCCCGCGACTGCCTCGACGCCGCCATTGCGGCCGTCAAGCCCGGCACACTCATCCGCGAATTTGGCAACATTATCGAAAAGATTGCAAAGGAGAGGAACTGCAGCGTCATCCGCACGTACTGCGGCCACGGCATCAACTCGCTGTTCCACTGCCCGCCCAACGTCCCCCATTACGCCAAGAACAAGACGGTGGGCGAGTGCAAGCCCGGCATGACGTTCACTATTGAGCCCATGATTGCGCTGGGCAAGTACCGCGATGTCACCTGGCCTGATAACTGGACGAGCACGACGATTGACGGCAAGAAGACTGCGCAATTCGGTAAGTAATGTTTTGTTTTGCACATGGTTCCACGATCTTCTGGAAAGGTCATTGCATAGAAGAACGACAGCTAACGGGAATAAACAGAGCACACTCTTCTGGTGACCGAAGATGGAGTCGAGGTCCTGACAGCTAGAACGGCCACGTCGCCTGGCGGCAAGGTGCCGATGCCTGGAACGAACGGCGAAGAGAAGGAGACCACCGCATAATTGACAACATTAGCATGGGACGCGGGGCATAAGCGAGCACGGTGTAGAGTACGAGAGGCGTTGCGTTGAGTGAGAATTGATGAGGGCGGGGATACGTGGACGCTGGGATGAGAGCATGATATGTGAGCAGGCATTGCTCTGGCATACACGGTGTTTAGGGGGTGATGCCATAACAAAGTGCCATGAAAACAAAAGCATTCGGCGCGACGGGGTCAAGGGGCGTCGAATATCAAATAACGATCAAAAGTTGACCATGCTGAGAGGACGCCACGTGAGTGTGCCACAGCCGTCTGCCACAACAAGAGGCGCATGGTCGGTCCGAGAGTACCCTGTCCCATGCGACTGGAGACGACAGCTGTCATGGGCAGAGGGATGTGCTGGGGATATCCTGAATCGCCGTCATGGTGAGGTCTCTTTCGCAACCCCGCGATTATCAAAGGCCCGGCATCGGTACTGTTCAAGTTGCGCGGTAAAGTCCCTGTCCAAGCCAGCAAGTCGTGGAAAGCTTGCATTGTTTCTTGCAGAGGCAGGCATTCACGTGACATCAATGCTTGAATCATGATATTGCTCTCGACCAAGAGAGGCGAGATGGGGGGGAATTGAAGTTGATCCTGTCTCTTCCCAGCCACCCGGTGGAGATAATGCGATGGCTTTGCACCCCGCCGCCGCTTTCGCACTTTGCCCGCCGGGCAAGCCTCACCGAACAGTGCACGAGGGGTTGCGCAGGTAGTTGGATAGCTGACGGTTGGCAAGATAATAGGACGGGATCTGTTATTTCATCATACCTTAGCTCTCTGCTGCTTGGAGAGATGGTATTCGCCTGTCGGATCGCGATACAGAATCTTGCTGCCCTGGGTAGGTAGGTGGCGGCTTGGAGATGTCTATGGAAGCGGTACGTACCCTTGCTGACGCAGCTGGCAGCTGGCACCTGTGAGGTGCACCTCAGAGGCTCAGATGGGTGGGAAGTGGAGAGGCGCTAATCCTTTTAGGATCTTCCAGGGCCTATCTGAGCCCCTTCCCCCAGCACTGAACAGCAATGGGCTGGGCTGGCTGGCGGGGAGAGAGGGGAGCCCTGGAGGGTCCAGTCCCCCGTGGCCCACGGCGCTGTTGGAGACCTGAACAAAGATAATCAGCGTCTTTCATCATCAGAAACCAAAGGAAGAGGTTTCCCAAGCCCCGTAACCCACCCTCCCGATTTTCCACGACTCGACTAGTGGCTCCCTGTCGCTCGCTACGCAACCCAACGCTACCCCGACGGGCCAAACCAAAGAACCATCGAACCAACGGAAACTCTCTTCACCACTTCACCTCGCTCTTCCAACTTTGTCTCTCTCAACCCACGTGCTGAACATCCTCCACCTCTTTTCAACCGCACAACTTCTCACCTCATAGCTGCCTGACAAACAGACACGTCTGCTTGCCACCTAGACACGCAGCCAAACCCTGCCATCCATCCATCAACGTACAGATACCGTCGCCGCATACGCAGACGCAGACACAGAGACGGAGCTCCATCTGCACCCATCCATCCCTCCTCCTACATCACCCCAGTGACGTCGAAGCATTCCACCTGCCCGCACGCATACGAGCTCCAAGTAGCCTCGCGAGCCAAACCAAGCTTCAACGCCGCCAAAACCCACGAACAGCAACTGCACTCAAACAGCTGCTCTTGTCGCAACCCTCTCTATCCTCCCTTTCCATCTAAACATATCCAACTAGCGCAGCTCGCTGCCAACTTTTCGTCAAGATGTCCGGCGAAGCGTGGTTATACCTCTTCGCGGTGCTGATAAACGCCGTCAACCTCTTCCTTCAAGTCTTCTTCACCATCATGTACAGCGATCTGGAATGGTACGTTGTCCCTCGTCTTATCCTCTCATCTCCTGGTGGACCTGCCTCTCGCCTTGCTGCCGCTGTTGCTGTTGCTGCTGCTGCGGCGGCTGCATCTGCACGGCGCATACCAGCTTCTTTCTTCCGTGCTCGGACGAGCTCAAACCTAGGCCGTGCTACATGCTGCGGAGCGGGCGGACGCGATAAACCTGTCATCCCATAATCTCTTGCAACTGGAAGCTAACATGATACCTTCTTCAGCGACTACATCAACCCCATTGACCTCTGCAACCGCCTCAACACCTACATCATCCCCGAAGCTGCCGTCCATGGATTCCTGACCTTTATGTTCCTGATCAACGGATACTGGGTACCTTTGATCCTGAACCTGCCGCTCGTAGCCTACAATGTCAAGAAGTACGTTCCCCTCCGAGACTCGCCTGGTGGAGGTGGTAGAACTCGAGAAAGCTGACTTGGCCTTAGGATTGTCGACAACACCCACTTGTTGGATGCTACCGAGATCTTCCGCAAGCTGAATGTCCACAAGAAGGTAAGAGCCGCAACCCACCTCAGATCTAGCCGGCCGTGTCTAATAAGCTTGCGCAGGAGTCATTTGTGAAGCTCGGCTTCCACCTGATCATGTTCTTCTTCTACCTCTACAGCATGATTGTCGCCCTCATCCGCGACGAGTCCTCTTAAATGATGAAACCCTACCCTGCGCACAACACACAGGACGGATTCCAGTATATAGATACCATGCCATGTGGACAGGAACGATATCAACGTACACGCCGATGCGCTGCCATCCTCTACAACGATGCACCATTCAGAGCTACTATCCAAGAGGGAGGGAGAGGTTTCGGGCGGGCAACCGCTAGACATGGAGGATAGTCATGGTACCAGCAATGCGGGGTGTCAAAAGGAGAAACGACAGCTGAAAGATATGGTGTCCCGGAGTTGTGGGCAGAGATTGGTGTCTCTGCTTGGATTCTGATGATGATGAATGGGAAAGAGAAAAACGGAATACGACACACAAACACACACGGTGGAGGAGGGAATGAAGGAACGAAACGGGCGGGAGACGGGTTACGATGCGAAAGACCAAATACCTAGCTGTTTACTTTATGTTGCTACCAGGCCGGCTGGTCCTGGGAGCGGCGGGTTGCGATAATTGAGTAATGACAGATCTTCTGAATGTCACTCGGCCATTTCTTTGCACCTTGTTGACTTGCTGTCCTCAACTAAACTTTTTCAACACGGCTGTTACCTTACTTTCAGACACCCTTGAGTGTGAGTTTGGTTTGTATGTGGTACCAAAAGCTGCCCAAGCTTTCCGTGCGCCTGTTTGCGCCTTGAACCCAAGCTTCGAGGTCGGAAACCGCAGATCCCAAGGGTAGCTCCCCAAATTCAAATCCTGACATCAGATCACGTGACGCCAACTTTTTGCTGCCGCGACCAGGAACACCAGCAACCAGTCGCGACCAAACATTGCGACTCTGCGACGCCAGCAAAACTCACTCAATTATCGCCCAAATCTCTCCCGACGAGACGACAGGACGCAAGATGTCGGGCTTCGGAGACTACCCGCCAAACATGGCGCCCCAGGACGCGCTCATCGTGCGGCAAGAAGCCGAGCCCGATCACGCAGTCGTCCCCTACACCGGCGAAGACCTCGCTCGACCGCGCGTCGGCCCCGCGAACCCCTTCAAAGACGAATCGGCCATGACTCTGAAGCGCAAGAACGTGCTCACCGGCCGGGCGGAGGAGACGTACATTTCAGAACACACCTTCCGCAGCAAACACCGCGCCGTCGAGCGGAAAGGCGGGCCGGAGAGGGAGTACCAGACGGGCGCAGCCGTCAAGGAGGAGAACGCGCGGATACGGTCCGGCCGTGAGGGTAAAGGCGACGCGACGATCGTGGAGGGCGACGGGGCGTACCTGGGCCCCTGGGCACGGTACCGCCGCGAGGAGTACGAGGTCGTCGGCGAGGGCGAGGCGCTGGCCAGCGACGAGGAGTACGAAGAGGTGACGGACGACGGCGAGGACGACGACGTGGTGGAGAGCGGGACGGTGCTGCGCGCGCCCGAGGCGGCGCTGACAAGGCGGAAGGAGGTGGAGGCCATGGGCGAGGAGACGACAACGTTCCACGGCGCCGAGGAGACGGATTACCAAGGCCGGACGTACATGCACGTCCCGCAGGACCTCGACGTCGACCTGCGCAAGGAGGCGGGCAGCGTGACGAATTACATCCCCAAGAAGCAGATCCACGCATGGAAGGACCACACGAAAGCCGTCACGGCGCTGCGCTTCTTCCCCGGGTCAGGACACTTGTTGTTATCTGCCTCGGCGGATAGCACGGTCAAGATTTGGGATGTGTATCACGAGCGGTCGCTGCTGCGGACGTTTTTGGGCCACGCCAAGGCGGTGTCGGACGCGACATTCAACAACGACGGCACGCGGTTCTTGTCGGCGAGCTTTGATCGACAGATTAAGCTGTGGGACACGGAGACGGGCACGTGTCTGAGCCGGTTCTCGACGGGCAAGACGCCGCATGTGGTGCGGTTTAACCCGTCGGCGGAGCACGCTCACGAGTTTGTGGCGGGTATGTCGGACAAGAAGATTGTGCAGTGGGATACGCGCGCCGGCAACGAGATTGTGCAAGAATATGGTATGCTACCCTTTTCCCCTTCCCTTTCCTTGCTGTAGACAGCAGACATGATGTACTAACACTTACAAGACCACCATCTCGCCGCCATCAACACAATCACATTCGTCGACGAAGGCCGCCGCTTCATGACGACATCAGACGACAAGTCCCTCCGCGCCTGGGACTACAACATCCCCGTCCCCATTAAGTACATCGCCGAGCCCTATATGTACCCGATGACGCGCGCGGCGCCGCACCCGAGCGGGAAATACGTCGCCTTCCAGTCTTCGGACAACCAGATTGTCGTCTACGGTGCCAACGACAAGTTCCGGCAGAACCGCAAAAAGTCGTACCGGGGCCACAACAACGCCGGCACGGCCATCGACGTCAGTGTCAGTCCCGACGGGCAGTTCTTGGCGAGCGGCGATACGCAGGGGTTCGTGTGCTTCTGGGACTGGAAGACGTGTAAGATGTACCATAAGCTCAAGGCGGGCGATCAGGCTGTTACGTGTGTCGCGTGGCATCCGCAGGAGACGAGCAAGTTTGTTTCGGCGGGGGCGGAGGGGGATATTCGGTATTGGGATTAGGGGGAGGTGCGTATTCTTCAGAAGAAGATGGCATCAATCCGTGTCTAGATGAGAGAGATAAGTCTTTGTATTGTATGGTAGGCATTGCTCGGCGTTGGGAGGGGATTAAAATGATATCGCCCGTTACTTGTCTCATCACTAACAGAAGCCCATCTATGACTTTGGTATGTGTCTCGTGATCTTGGGATACCTCAAGACTCCTCGGTCCCAGCATCCTTTCACTTGTTTGCCACATCAAAACATCTCCATTCCAAAAAGAAGACTGGCAGAGCGTTCGCTTCTTCCGACATGAGGTTGCTCATGATGCGATAGCGGCGCTGCTTCGTACCTTCTCCCCTCCATCGATACCTTCACCATCCTAGCTCACGGAAATCCATGACAAATACACACCAAATACGAGCCGCACTCTACCTTGATCACATGTCTTGCCCACCCACGAGGAAAAGCCCGTGCAAGTTCCAATTCCCTGCTCTTACCTTATCTTAGTGCGCGCAATTTAGACGGCTCATCTACTAGGCATTTAGACTCGTCTGCACGCGCGACGCACGCTTCTTACCAAGAAAATTCCCCCGCTAATTCAGGGGAGAGAGGCACGGAAGTTTTTGGAGGAGGGGTGATGACCGGAATCGGACTACATTGTATGTGTGTCAGACACGGCCGGCCGCGTTCCGATGCGGCCTTGTTACCCCAACGTTTATGTACCGTATGCATGCGTGTCTCACTGCTTTGGGATGATATCGTAACATCGTACGCTGATGGAGGGGGAGAGAGAATTCCAGACATCACATGGCCTTTTTTGCTTCAACATCTCTTATGGGATGATATTGATGTTCGCTCAATTCAATTCAGCGAGTTTTTACATCATTTCTCGTGGAGTTGACTAGAGACATCGTTGCAAAGAATCAATTTGAATACGATTTCACGAAATCACCAGGGGCCAGAGCAGGCGAAGATGGACTCAGCATATTGGGATATCTTCCCCGACACAGAAGACGCCGAGGTTATGGAGAGCGACGAGGGGGATGAGGAAGTAGGCGAGGACATCAACGCCTGTTCGCCAGACATCAAGGTCCCCTGCGAGAATTGTAGACGCAAAAGACGCTCGTCATGTAAACGATGCCGCGAGCGGCAGCGACAGCTCCAAGTCCAACACCAGTCAAGTCCTCACACCCATCCTCGGAGAACGAGAAAATCGTCTCTCGAAATCGCATGCTTTCCAGATCGCTCCTCATCCTCGTACTCATCATCATCATCTTCTTCCAATCCATCACATCCCCTTCATCCTTCACCACCATCGCCTACCATCCCGACCACGAAGCAGGACACAATTCCAGAAGTCATCCTTCAACAATCCCCCGACGACTACTCCTCACCCGACACAACTACACAGAAAAACACACTCACCGTTCCTTCCGGAGGCCCAAGTTTTGCAGCAGTATATACCAACTCCCCGTCGTGGATGTCGACGTATACCTCGTCAACGTGCGCGACAACGTACACCACCACCCACGAACGCTCCCGCAGAGACGGACTCGGCAGCGGGGAGAAGGACGTCGGTGATGGGTGGTTGGATGTCAGGAGACGCCGGAGGCCGCCTTATCCTAGACGGCCGCGGACGATTGGGCGATGGGATGGGGAGGCAAGGTCGTCGATGACTGCGGTGACGTCGTCGAGGATGAGGTCTAGATGGGGTGAGGAGACGGTGGAGGGGTGGGATGAGGGTGAGATGGAGAGCGGGAGTTATTGTGTTGTTGAGGGGGCAAGGTGGGAGGAGCAGAGGTTCATCACGTCTAGGAGGGCCGCGAAAGCGGTGGTTATGGGTATGGGGAAGAGTGGTGCGAGGAGGCAGGGGAGGGGGGATTGGAGGGGTGTTGCTGGGCATGGAGCCAAGAGGAGGACGAGGGCGGTTCCGTTAGTTGATCCGCCTAAGCCGAAGGTTCTTTTCGATTTGCTCACAATGAGGATGAAGATATCTACGACGGGATCGATGGAGGGAGGGAGAAGGGGGTTGCTGGGGTTGCCGTTTGTGGAAGGGAGAGGGCATTCCCGGGCCGTGTTTGCGATGGCGTATGTGAGAGGGACGGCGCATGTAAAGGGTCTTTGGGGGCTGTTGAGTGATAGATGCGACGACACTGGGGGTTTCTTGGGATTTGACGCTAATGTAGGGGTTTGGAGCGTTGTGTTGAGGTATCTTGGAGATATACTTGGCTTCTCTAGGCGTGAACGGCAAGGTGAGGTGGATTAGAATGATCATCTGGAGGCGACTTTGGCTTAGCATCGTCGATACATTCATCGCAAGGTTTTTGGCCACTGTCTCTGAGAACTCGTGTATTTGTCCATCGAGAATTTGACAGGTATGATGCCACCTTCCATCATATCCCTGATTCCAATATCCGTGAGACCAATGCTTCTCAATTACCAACACCATGAAAATAGATCTTTCCTCGTCCTTATCTGAAATTCCAAGACCGTTCGCTACCCTCAATAATGGACTGCCCTATGTTCAGTCTGGATTAACCGTGAGACTAAGGCCTCCAATGGCACATGCTGATAGATTTATTCTAGGTTTCATGCGCAGGAATGGGCACGGGGCCATGAGAGCGAAGTAGACCAGTAACGCTGACGACAACATCGCCGATGTTGAGGAGGAAAACAGAGTCCTGGACACAAGCAAAGATCTTGAGAACATTGCAAGTGGGGTCTGACGACAAGGACACAGTGAAGAGAAATGCGAGAAGGTGAAGCAGACGGGGACTATGGCGCCTGCTTAGATGGCACCAATCAAAAGCAAAGCATCACGAAGACGATACATCCTTTTATAATCAACCTGATTTCCTCAACTATGGAATTTCCACGTCTATCAACAAAAAAAGATACTCCTAGAAGATCGAAGCAAGATACCCCTCCTTACGCGGGAGCAGCAGCCTGCTTCTTCTGACTGCGAAGGCCAGTTCTCGTTCCCGGCACCGCCGGCTTGACGGGCTTGGCAGTTTTCTTCTTCGGAGCTTTGACAGGCTTCTTCTCCTCTGCCTCCGGCTTAGCCTCTGCCTCCTTGATATCCTCCTTAGCATCCTTCTTAGTATCCTCCTTAGTATCCTCCTTCTCCATCTTCTTATCGTTCTCTTTCGGAGCCTTCTCTGCTTTGCTCTTCGGGCCCTTGAGCTTGGTAGTCGTCTTCTTGGATGTGGTCGCAGTTTGTTTGGGCTTGGTACCAGACTTCTTGCCCGTTCTGGCTTTCTTGATGGGTCTCTTACCAGGCTCATCGTCTCCGATCTTCTCTCCCTCATCTTTGCCGTCCTCTCCAACCTCCTCTTCTGCCTTGCGCTTCTGACCCTTAGGCTTTGTAGTCGTCTTCTTGGATGTGGTAACAGTCTGTTTGGGCTCGTCTCCGGACTTCTTGGCCGTCTTAACCTTCTTGATGGGCCTCTTGCCAGACTCATCGTCTCGGTTCTTCTTTCCCTCATCTTTGCCGCCCTCTTCGAACTCCTCTTCTGCTTTGCGCTTCTGGCCCTTGGGCGCTGTATCTGTCTTCTTGGGAAGGTGGGGAGGATTTCTAGGCTCGTAGCCGCAAAGCGGGATCATCACAGTCATCATGGCGGGCGTCATCATGGCGGGCCTGTTGTCAGAAGGTTGAGTGTCCTCATCGTCTGAGTCCTTCTTCCCCGTGTCTTTGTCGTCCGCTTCGAGGTCCTCCTCCGCCTTGCGCTTGAGTGACTGAGGCGGGGTGGTAGTCTTCTTGGGTGCGGTCTTGGTTGTGTTGGCGGAAATCTTCTTCTTCTGCTTCTTCGCGCCTCGGGCCTCAGCATCCTTGTCGTCAGACTCCAGTTCCGCAGACTTCCTCTTGGAACCTATCGAAGGGGACAGATCCGGGGGAGAGGCTGTGTCCACGATGCAGCTAGAGCGGCCGCCCAAGGTTGGCATGGCATGCTTGACCGCATCGCTCATCTCGATGCTGGGAATGGGAGCCGCCGAGCCGGTCCGCGACGTGCGCGAGCTGCGGCTGCTTCTTGGACCCCAGGCTCCAGGAAGACGGCTGGGACTCGTCGGTCCACTAAAGTACGACGAGTGTCCAGGCGGGAAGAGGCCGGGCAGGTTGGGGGGCTTGCCGATGACATCCTCGATGGTGATCTCAACCTCTGCGAGGCGGCGCTCGTTTCTGGCGCTGCGGGAGTCGGTCACCTCTTGTTTCTCCTCCAGCTGGTCCTGCTGGTCTTCGAGCTTGTCCTGGCGCTTCTTCGTCTCGAAGTTAGTTTTGCGGACTTCGTCTTTCAGATCTCCGAGTTGGGCATCGATGGTGTTCTGCCATTGGACGAGATTTACCTGGGTCTTGTAGACAAGTTCCTCGCCCATGTCGAGGCGCGCTCTGAGGGCCTGGATCTGCTCGAGGCTGGAGTTGCGGGGGTGGAAGTCTACCAGGATTGGCTTTGATGATGTACTCTTGAGGGACCTATGGGGTGAGGCCGTGAGGTATCGCTTCTTGGATTGTTGGGTTTGGGCTGGGGGCGTTCCCTTGAGTTCGAGCTTCACCTTGGTAGGAGGCGAGCTGGGCGGAGTACTCTTGATGGCAGTCTTCTTGACCGGAGTCGTGAATTCGGATGAAGCGGTGTGCTCAGTTGGAGGTGTACTTCCTGCTGAAGATGGGCTTGCAGCGAACAACTCTTTTTCGTACAAGGATGAGGAGTCGACGTCGGCTTCCTCCTCTTCGTCCTCTGAAGGTGAATATTCCACGATCCCATCTCCGGTCGGATCATACTCCGTGCTTGGGCTTCGGGAGATTTGGATCTGATACTGGCCGAAACTCTCTCCAGTTGGGCCAGCGAGGGCGGTCCTTCCTACCGAAAAACCAGTTTCCGGGGAGGAGCTCGGCGCCATGTTGGCTTCAGGCGCGATATATGATGAATCCGCCATGATGTAGGAAGGATGATTGTGAGATTGAATGAGACGATTTGGAAGAGGCGGAAGGTAGAGAAAAGGGCAATGTGAAATCTGAGTTTGGGGTGGTTGTTGTGTAAGTGTATGGTTTTGCGCGGGTGAGTGTGTGGGTGGTGAGTGAGAAAGTTACGAGAGCGCCAACAGAGGGGAGAAGGGACTCGACCAGACGGGTATTTGAAGAAGGCGCCTCACCACCCGGCCTGACCAGGCGTCGATTTGTTCAGGGTTTCCAAACGCTTTCTTCCAAGGGTCCCCAAGTTGTTTCTTCACCGCAGTCAAAGGATACAAAGGCCTATTTTTATTTCACCAGCGGTAAAATTTCAACACAAGTTGTGGAATTTTATCAAAGGCATTGTCTCCCACCATTGTCTGATTGTTCTCAAGTCATCGAGTCTTTCTCTCAATGTACGTAGAAGAGTTACACCGAGATCTCTTACGCAGTTAGAGAAATTATTTCGATCGATCACTTTGACCCGCAGACAACGCGACTTCCCCTCCTAGTTTCCTCCCCATCGTACCTTCCCTGACAGATCTTCAGAATCAGATCAGAAATCTTCAACCAAACCTAATGCCTCGTCTGACTTTGCCCAAGATGTTTCTACCAGCATCTAAAATCTACTGGACAGGCTTCAGAACCATGAGATCGATCAACGAATAAGCAATTTCTGCAGCAGCGAGAACAGTGGTTTCTCCGTTATTATCGTATGCGGGCGCGACCTCAACTACGTCAGCACCCACAATGGAGAGTCCTTCGAGACCATCGAGGATGGTAAGAAGCTCCCTCGTAGACCAGCCCCCCGGCTCGGCAGTGCCAGTCGCTGTGAAAAGTCAGCTTCTTTCCTGCAGCCTTTTCCAAACTACTCACCAGGCGCGAAAGCCGGGTCAAGCACGTCAATATCGACGCTGATGTATACTCGAGAGTCGCCGACACGCTCTTTGAGCTTCGAGATGACCCCGCTGGCCCCGAGCTTATCCAAGTCGCGTGCGGTGACGATCTCGAAACCACATCGGACGTCGTTGCGCAGATCACCCTTTCGCCGGATCAACGGAGCTCTGATCCCCGCGTGAATCGATGTGTTCAAGATCAGATGCTGGGCCATTTAGCCTCTCCTCAGGGGAATACCGACGGGTTTGACCAGACATACCTCTTCGTGGGCAATATGAAGGAATGTTCCGTGGTTAAGACCTCTATTGTCGGTCAAAATGTGGCAGTGAGCATGAGCCTATTAATGTCTTCACTTACGCGTAGTCGGAGATCCCGCCACCTGAAGCGCGACAAGACGTTCCGTATTAACTTGGAGAGCATCGGCAATCTTTATTGGATGACTTACCCAAGACCATTGGATCCCAAGTGTCTTTCTTGATGATAAGCTAGGTACCAAGATCTCCTGACGAAAAGTACTGACCGATGTGGCTATCAAAGTGGATGACTGAGACGGGACCCCATCTCTGGTAGGTCGACCGTAAAGCAGATAGTGTTGTCGTGTGGTCTCCTCCAAGCGTGAGTATTCTGGGCGTGGTTGACACCGATGAGTTCGCTGCCGGTCTGCCCGAAATAACCTTTCACTCCTCATCAGCTCATCGTCCAAGATAGCTCAACAGAACATGACTCAACAGTGTGGGCTCTATCCAGAAGCTTCAGAGAAGCTGTATTGTCCAGCCAAGTGAGACGCGCATCGCCGCAGTCTACAACTGTCGCCCAGTCTTGCAGTGGGTTTCTTCCTATTGGTCATTTCATGTCAGATGAAGGCATCTATCAAGACAAAGCCCATGGAAAAGAATTACCCGTGTACACGCTCCATTCTCCCGGCGACTTTCTTTGACTACCGCTTCGAATGGCAGGCGGACCAAAGCGAGCTCCCGGTCGACCAGTGGTAGTCTGCTCTGGGGGTCAAATGATGGCTCTTCGAAGTATACAGAAGCGAGCTGTAGTTACCGTATCGTGTGACGCACCAAAGACCGCAATGTCATACTTATGGCCCTCCGCATTCTCGTCTGAGAAGCAATCTACGAAGGGCAAGTTGGCAAAGGTTCTCAGTCCGGCAAATGATGTAGCGCCATAGATGTTCAAATCACCGTCATTATCTGTGCTCAATGGTACTTGATGGCCATGAGGTGACTGGATATTGTCAAATGCCTGGTGGGGAACTTTCCAAGTAGCCCCGCCATGGACATGGAGGAGCAGGAGGGAAACACGAAAGAACGATGAAGTAAACATCGTTGTCATAAAAATGGTGTTGTTTTAGATCATTTGCTCGACAATTGACGAGACAGCGGTATGAAAAAATCAATTCTCGTCTTCCCAGAGGAACAAGTAAGGTACCTTAGATATTTCCTGCCTCTGTTCAGAAGGCAGATCGACGTCATCGTCTTATTGGCCCCTTCCCCCTGTGCCTTATCGCGACCCCTCATTGAAGCTCCCTCAACATCAGCCACATGTTCGTGTAAGTGGAGGTGTGTAAGATGTGGCTTGAACCCCTAGAATCATCCTCCCCTTTATGAAGTCGAATTTGAAGGAAGGTACGACTTGGGTGGTAAACTGGAATGCTCCTTCTCAGAAATAGGTATCACGTAATTAAGGTACCTAATCTTGCGAAACCATGGACGGGAGTCTGAGGTGCCCGGCGCAAGGTGCTGCGACTCGAATGCTCCCTCCAACATCATCCATACATGTTACCGCGCCCTAGACCATCAACCTTGGCATCGGGCATCCGTCGCTCTCGTTGCATTCCAACCTTCCTCTTTTGATAGGTCATATCTGACCAAAACTCTCAAATAAGCCTGTTTTTGAATATCTTTAGAATCATACCCCCTCATCCTTCTTCATGTCGAACCACATACCCTCCTCTCGATCCTCAGCTACGAGCTCCCGCTCATGCGAGACCCTTCGAAGGCGAGTCAAATTCCAGCAGATTGAACACGACGGCGCGGTCGACGATGACGATAACACGGAAGAAGGGCTCCCGCGGCCCCTTCCCAAGAGCGACTACAAGTCCATATACAAATGGTGGAATGACGAATACCGCCTGGTTGCAGTCTGCGTCGTCGGAGCCATCGTCCTCGGCATCATCTTCAAGAATTACGACGGGCAGCCGACCCCCCAGCTGATGCATGGCGACCTCGACTTCGATGTCATCATTGTAGCCATGTTCACTTGCGTTCGCGTAGCAATGAGCGGAATTGTTGAGACCTCCATTAGCCAATCTGCCTGGATCTGGGTCTCCGAAGCCCGGCAACGTCGCACAAATGACAGCCGAGCCAGGTTGGAAGACTTCAAGATATACGACGAGGCTTCGCGCGGGCTTTGGGGCAGCTTGTATCTCTTGTGGCGACTGAGAGGAAGGTACCGTGAAGCGCCTATTCTCTTTCGCCCGGAATATTATTGCTGACTGATGATGTGCCAGACATCTTGCTTGTATTGGCGCCTTGATTGTTATTATTGTCCATGGATTGGAGGCATCCTCCCAGCAGCTCTACCGGTATGAGGGCCAGCCACGACTAAGCCTCGATAAACCCGAAGTCGCAGCGCCCGAGAGAAGCGATTTGTAGGACTACACTGTCTCCCGGGGCCTTGACCCGCGTAGGTGGTGATGCGTCGCTTGACAAATGTATCACTCACTAACACGCAGCAGTACCAGCTCTCAACGTATCCACCAAAGCAGCCATATACAGCGGTATTCTATCCGTGGATGTCAAGAACCTTGATCTCAAGTGCTCCGGTGTGAATTGCACGTGGCCCATCGTACCAACACTGGCAGTTTGTGGCGAGTGCAATCCCCTAGACATAAGGACTATGTGTACCGACAAATCGCAGACGTGCCGGTACAGCTTGCCCAGAGGCACGTCGGTGGAGATCAGCCGAAATGCACCGACCACCGAGCGATTCAAGACGGCAGCATCGGACGGCATCATCCACCGAATGAACTCGACGACGCAAACATACATATCCGTCTTCGACGTCCTATGGGTATTGAAAAGCAAGCGAGAGACGAAAAGTATTGCTCAGGAATGCGCCTTGTGGTTCTGCATGAAGAGCTTCAACTTCACGATCACCGAAAGCCAGCTTAAGCAGAAGCTCACCATGAGCTGGAATACGACGCGGTTTGAACTGGGCAACAGCGCGCACGGCGACGAGTACGTCTTCGTTGATGTTCCAGTAGAAGACATGAACGTTGCGCCAGAGTCCAGGTACAGTATTTCCAAAAAAGCGCTGGCTGCATTGCGGAGGTTCGTCGACCCGCTTGTTGAAACCACGTACGAGAAACAATACACCATCATCAACTTTTCGTCAGATTGGGCCGAAGGGATCTACAACGCGAGAGAAAAACTACCGGAATGGATTGACCGATTTAGCATCAGTTTGACGAATGAGGTGCGACTCCACGGCGAAATTCGGGACAAGGACCGACATCGATATACCGGACGAGCGTATGAGATGGTGCAGGTCATTATGGTAGACTGGCTGTGGATGTTGTTCCCAACAGGCCTCATCATTATCAGCATCTACTACCTCTCGCATACCATCATCAGAGGCGCTCGCGACGGCATCTCGGTGTGGAAAAGTGACTCGTTGCCAATGCTCTTTTGTCGGATCGATGCCTCGATTCTCGCAAAGGTCGGCGATGGCATGGATGTGCCCAACGGACTGGATGTAGCTGTCGGTAATGTCAATGTGTGTTTATTGAGGGAAGATGATGGCGACTGGGTGTTCAAGCCAATCGAGAGCGAGTCGTCGTCGTCGTCGTCGTCGTCGTCGTCGTCCGAATCTGATTCTGAGTGAGAAGCATCGTGGCGGTTCTAGTCAGAAGTCAGAATCGGTGGTGGTACGCATTGATACGATACATCATCTCATCCTATAAACTCCGTCAATGAACAAGTGCAATTGACGTAAAAGAGTGTCAGTCTGCGAGGTGTGTGACCTTTCTTTAATTCCGCGTTCTGTGGTCCCTGACATGGCTGGGCGGAAGACCTCCGAAAGCACGGGGCTCACCGTTCATGATGACGCTAATGACTCGACCCCAGCCGTCAGTCGGGGAATAGGTTCGTCATGTTTGATTGGTCTGCATCGCCGAGCTCTTGTGGAGTTCTGTGTGAAGTGACCGTTAGTCGCCGCGGCGACTCGGCAGAGATGGTCGGCAAAGGAGTTCCTTGAAATTGACTGACTCTCATTTGCTATGTCAAATTCAACCCTCCACTTTGCAGTTTCGCAGTCCTCGGCCCCAAGTTCTAGCCCCATGTCCAAGGTAAAGCACTACCCGTTCGGTATGCACTTCGCTGAGAGGGTGAGCGGATTACAGATCATTAGTGTTTGTGCCAAGTCGGCGGAAGAGACGAGTCAGAGTATGAGATTGAGAGGGAGGGAGAGAAAGAGAGAAGACCAATTCCGATCATTCCGATACAGACCCGGCCCCAGGCTTGGATGATAGCTTCCCCTGGTCACAGCTCCGGCCCTGTAGGATGCCAACTCAGGCTCGACCTCCGTGTCTTCGTGTCCACCACCATGCCGTCCCCAGACATCTAGCGTCAAAGGATCGTCGACGGCTCCAGACCCCAGAATTTCGACTCCAGAGTTGCCATGCAAGCCTTTCCCCTCTTCCCCACACCCCGCAAAGTGTTCCCGTCTTCCGTCTTCGGTCAAGTCGCTGAGTCCAGGTCTGGGAATCTCAACATTTTCAACTCTCTTTTCGCGTCATCTGGTCCCGTACTCAGTTTCCGTAGACGAGCTTCCCCTCGCTCCAATCCCTTATCTTGCGGATCTCATTGAAGAACCCTTCTTGCGCAATCCAAAGTCTAGATAATGGCATCTGAGACCACACCTCCCGAAGTCTCCAAGCCCAAGTCGCAAACCAAAGTCCGCAAGCGCGCACCAAAAGCCTGTCTATCATGTCGCGCTCGCAAAGTGAGATGCGACGTGTCTCAGCGAGGTCGCCCATGCATGAACTGCTATCTCGACAGTGAGAACTGTGTAGTTACCGGGCGTGCGTCGCGATTGTGAGTAAATGTACTGTTATCCCTTATTGTTGGTAATACTAACCCAGCGAATAGTCGAAGAGCGCAACAAAGGGATGGCGTCGACAATGCGGAAGGTGCATATCCGCAGTACGACGCAGAGGCCGGCGAGCAACTTCTTGTCGTAGATCCTATCGCAGCAACGAGTGACGACTCTCGGCCAGTTCCCTCAAACGAATCAGACGCCCAGCCACAGACCTGCAACCATTCACACGGCGACGACATCACAATACCAGCGGCCACCGATCGGCCAAAGAGCCCGGTTGTTAACGAGAGCAATGCCCAGAACGAGCACCCAAAGCCAAGTCGTCACCACGCCAGGCCATCGGTCGCGTCCACGAGCACGTACGAAGCTTTTCCTTCCAATTCCTTGCCGTTGAACAACCAGCCATTTACGACGCCATACACCGCTGGCCAACAGAACACAATGGGAATAGATGTTACATACTCTTTTTACCCGTTCCTGGCATTGGGCAATCTCCACGGAATACCGCCACAGGATGTGAACTATTTGGAGCTCCAGGGATGCCTCAGGGTGCCAACACGCGCTATACTCGACGAGTTTGTTCAGCAATACTTCCTGCATGTCCATCCATTGCTGCCGATGATCCATGAGGGCGACTTTTGGGATCTTTACTGCGTGAATCCCACCAGCTATGTGCCTGGCGAAAAGCTATCACTGCTCGTCTTCCAGGCAATGCTGTTCGCGTGTTGCAACGTATGTTATACTCATCCAATCTTACAGCCTTTCAAGGCCCAATTCTAACATCAACTAGTTCGTCTCCCGCCAGACTATTAAGACCCTTGGCTTTCCGACCGTTCGAGCCTGTCGCGCCGCTTTCTACAGACGTGCCAAGCTTCTTTACGACCTCGAATCCGAATCGTCTCCCCTCGCAATCTCACAGGCTTCCCTCCTCCTGTCCTTCTGGTCTTCACCCACCTCCCCAGCATTCCGCAAATCAAATACAGCCTGGCTCTCCATTGCGATTCAAAATGCAAAAATGGTCGAAGCCCATCACTACGCTACACGCACAGCATCGCCCAAGAAGCGCAATCTCCTCAAGCGTCTCTGGTGGTGCTGTATCATTCGCGATCGAATTGTCGGCCTAGGTCTCCGCCGTAGTCTGCAGATCACGCGGAGTCATTTCACTTTCGATGCGAGTGAGAGTCTTGGGTATTCGGACTTGGCGGATGAGATTGAGAGGAGCAGGGTGTACAACCCAGGCACAAAACGGTGCTTGGCTGAGATCTTGGAGCAGCTGGTGGAGCTGTGTGTTGTGCTCACCGATATCCTGATCTTGGTTTTCCCGCTAGACGACAGGCCGGGTTGGGGCAGAGAGATGCGAGCCGAAGAACAGGACAAGGTGCGAGTGTGTAAAGTTGCACTTCAGAGGTGGTATAAGGGCGTGACCATGCGGTTTCCCATGTTTGGTGGCGGTTCCGTCGCGAGGATGAAGGCACCAGGGAACGAGTTCCAACACGACTCAGTGATATTATACACCAATTTGATGTACATGTACTATCAGTAAGTCATTGTTTGGATTCAGCCTACTGGCCATCACTAACATGCACTCAGTTCCTCTCGAGTGGTCCTCAGTCACCACGAAGTCCTTCACCTTGCCATCACCGCCGCAGCGCCATCGTTCAACGCCATCCCGACCTCCGATCTCATCATCATTGGAGAGAACCGACACGAGCTTCAGGATGCCGCTTCCGGGGTAACAGAGTGTCTCAAGGAACTAATCCATCTTCGACTCGCACGCTGGCTGCCAATCAGCGCTGTAGCCTGTACCGCTTTGCCGTTGGTCCTGCACATCCTCGATGTGAAGCTATCGGCCTCCTCGCGATCCTTTGACCCCAACACGCAATCGGCGCTTAAGCAACATCGTCTCAACATTCTCATAGAAGCGATGAAAACGTACCAACCACAATACGACGGCGTCGACTGGGTCAGCGAGACGATTCGACACATTGTCAATCTGGCGCAAATTGAGTCGCCAGCACCAGGGGATTCCGCAAACGCAACCCCCGGCGGCGCAGTCATTGCAGATTGGACAGATATCCTCGCCTCCCAACCGAGCTCCTACCTCCGCCTCGCTCTAACGATGGACCTCTCCCTCAGCAAAGGACGGCTACCCGAAGACGGAGACTTCCCAGTCAGTCTTCGTGGCCTCTTCACGGGCGGCTTCAATCCGCTCAAGGCGCTCCTCGAACGTAAGAGGAACGAAAGCAGGGATGCGAGCAGGGATACGAGCGGGGGCTTCTCTGAGCCTGCAGAGCACGCGACTGATCGTATGACGGACTTCGACGCCGCGGCGATGAGAGTGAACCTATTCCGAATGCAGCCGCCGGGCACCGTGACAGCCATCCCTTCAGACGAGGACTCTACCTCGCCCACATCCGCGGGCAGTCACAGCCAGGACAGCGTCACAGACGACACATCACCACGCACCGGGGCGGAATACCAAAGCAGCTGCGACGTCAACATGGCAGATCGCCCACCATCGGAGGGGATTGATGGTCTGGCGGCTGAGGTACTTGCCGCGTTTCCACTGGACGATCAGTCTGCGAACGTAGCTGCTGGCGACTTTGATGGCATGTACTTTGACGGGATGCCGGGGCACGATGGACCTGGCGGGTGGATTGAGACGGCGTGGAACGAGCTGACGCAGCATTCTGCTGCACCTGGGTCGGGCGAGGATCGTGGGGATAGGGATACGGCGAGAGTGCTGCTTGATGCGTTGAGGGAGGGGGAGCTGACGGAGTGTGCCGCTTGAAGTTTGTATGAATTAAGGGTAAAATGATGACTTGATGACTTGATGTACACAGGGAGTGGTAATGCCCATTCTTGTTCTTGCGTAGATGGCGGGTAGGCCATCAGTATAATACTTGAGAATTTGTTTCCTGCAATGTAGCAGCTCATATATGTTTTAAATGGGTGTTCGCTCTACCGCTTAGAACCATGAACTCCAGTGATTCTCGTGCCCGCGATCTGAGCACATTCAGTCTCGCTCAGACACCTGCTTCTACTTCAACACAGCCCTGTCACGGCCACGAAGTAGTTTTTGGAAAACACCGATATTGATCATAACCCAAGCTGACAAGACTTGAGAACAGCTCCGAGACCCATATCAGGAAATCACGGTCCGAGGACGGGAAGCAACGTGGGTTCTCCCCCGCACGATGCATCTTACACTTGGGGTACATGAACCCCCCTGATTCTCCAAGTCCGCTGCATTCACCCTGGCGTGTCGTCTGCCCCCCGGCCAAGAATTTCTTTTTGAATTTAAGGTTGAGCGGGGTGTGGTAACGTCGATCTTTGGTCTTCGGCGGAGAATCACGGAGAAGTGGATGTGCCGGGAACATAACGCTCCGTGTCTCGGTATACCGGTGTTGACCGTCACTACCGAGAGATTTCAAACGGAGAAGTCGGTCCTCGTTTGGCATAGACTTATTGACTTCTACTGCGGTCAAGAACAAATCTGTTTGAGGAAAAAGGGCTTAAGGGGGGGGGGGCGTTGTGGCTATAAGACGAGCGCTGGAGGTGTATCGCATTGATCGTCAACGACCCAAACGTTAAGGCTCTAGCTGGATTTCATAGAATGGAATCAAACAAGATACCCATGAGTGGATGTTAAACACCTCTGGAAGGGAAGGCGCTGGTTGCTACACCATGTCCCGCTCATGCAGTGACGACCTAGCACCTTTCTCAACATTTGGCAGGTATCGCGTATCATCCGCTGCCAACAATCCGTCTACTTCATGCCTAGAGGACAGCCGACTTCTCACATAATATCCTACAGAC